TGTTCACCTATAAGGAGAGCTGCATTTGGCAGAGCCCGCAGGACCATGGAGCTGCTGAGGGGCCTCTGAGGGAAGAGGGCTGCTGCATGGACCCACGGTGGTCGTGTTGTTCCAGAAACACATCTCTGTATTGCCTTATATACAATGGCATCCTGGGATATTTTGTTGGAAGGATGACACATGTGACTTAACATTAACGCTTGAGGACCAGTGATCTCTGAGGTCCCTTCTATTTCTAAAATTGTGAGTGTTTGGTCCCTTTATAAGTAATGACACAAAGTGTCCTTGAAGCCATTTTCCCACTTCTTCAACTCTGGTGATTGCGGATCAATCATGGACGAGTTTTTGATAAAAATGAAGATGTGTGAGAATTCTCTGCCCCGCTTCATCCTCAGCAGTCTTAAGAGGTGTGTGGTGGGAGGGTGGGAATGAGATTAGCGGGTAGGGAGGGTAGGATATCCAGAAGGACTGGCTCAAGGTCTTCTACCAACTCTGCCCCACACTGAGCTGTGCCCCTCCAAGGGGTGTCCCCATGCTCAGGGTTGAGAATCATTTCTGCAGCAAACCTCTGCTCCTGAAGGGAGTATGGCTGCATCCCCAAACACTTTGATTGTCCTTCCCATCACTGCAGTCTTGTTAGGACTGTCAGTCAAGATGGTGGTCATGTTGGGGCGCCTGGGTGGCTTAGTCGGTTAAGCATCCGACTTTCGCTTAGGTCATGATCTTGCAGTTCGTGGGTTCGAGCCCTGCGTCGGGCTCTGTGCTGACTGCCAGCTCAGAGCCTGGAACCTGTTTCAGTCTGTGACTCCCTCTCTGTCTGACCCTCCCCTGCTCACGCTCGCTCTCTCTCTCTCTCCTAGAAATAAATAAACCATTAAAAAAAAAAAAAAGATGGTGGTCATGTCTGGGGCACCTGAGTGGCTCAGTTGGTTAAGATGGTGGTCATGTGACCCATGATGGCCATCACAGCACTCTCCTGGAGATGTGACTCAAGAGACACAGAGACAAACTCATTGGCAGCCGGGTCATCCTGAGGGCGGAGCCGTTACCTCCTGCTCTTAGATTCCTGGAACTGTCCTGCTCTCTGTCTTTCTTGAGCCCTGGCTGTTGTTTCCTTTGGTGTCTGTAAATTGTCCTGGCTCTGCCTCAGCCCTTTCCTATTGCTGGGCAGTCACCCAGGCTTTCTTTGCACCACCCTTCCTCTCTCAGGGGTCTTCACCAGGCTCGGGTGATAATTCTAGGTAATTCAGAGAGACAGTCATCAGGGCCTCCAAGAGACCTGCCCACTTGCCCTGGGGAATTTACACCTTGATTGTACAAGGGCATATTCATTACTGTCTCTGGAACACAAGATTTGAGGACCTATCGTTAAGCCCTGAGAACAGAGCTCATCAAAAGTCAGTGACCCATCAGATCAATTCATTAATCAAAAGAATGAGCCCAGAAACTGAACACCCATAGTTAGATTTCACATGAGTTTAGTTCAGACCATTCAGAGTCATGCATGGTCTGGAAAACATGCATCCCTGTTTTGTAATTTGGTTCATTCTTTTACTTATCTTTAGGAAAAAAAAGACTTCAGATGCCATGTGGGTCTCTCAGAGGGTGCAGTTTTCCCCTATGCTATTGCGTCTGCCAGTGGGCAGCTCCAGGGCGAAGGAGTGAGAGGAGCCTTGGGGACAGCAGAGAAGAGTCTAGGGGCATGGGCAGGAAGCCAGCTCTGGGTTGGGATTCTTCCCTCCTTTTGTCTGAGGGTTCCCTCCCTGGTTGCTCAATGTTAGCCTCCCTGGTACTCATAAGGGACTTCAGACTCTTCCAAGGGAAGGATTTAGTAACAGGAAATTAGAGGAAGGAAATTGGGAGCATTTCCCCCTGGGGCAGAAACCTGGAGGAGATACTGAGGAAGAATGAGTTTCTCCTTCGTGCCTAAAATTAATCCTATAGAGCTGCCTTGTCCAACTTGGGAGCTGCCAGCCATGTATGCTGGGGGGTGATGGAGACACAGAGAGTTCAAATCATGATGTGTTGTAAGTGTAAAATATAAACCAGGTTTCAAAGACCTTGCCTGAAAAAAAAAAGTGTAAAATATCTCATTAATAACTTTTAAAATATTGATTACAGGGAGGCCTGGGTGGCTTAGTCGGTTAAGTATCTGACTTGTGATTTTGGCTCAGGTCATGATCTCACGGTTCATGGGATGGAGTCCGACGTCGGAGTCTGTGCTTACAGCGTGGAGCCTGCTTGGGATATTCTCTCTCCCTCTCTGTCCCTCCTCTGCTCATGGGCACATGCATTCTCTCTCTCTTAAAAAAAAAAAAAGGCTTGGGGCACCTGGGTGGCTTAGTTGGTTGAATGTCCACCTTCATCTCAGGTCATGATCTCATGGTTTGTGAGTTCAGGCCCCACATCGGGTTCTGTGCTGGCAGCTCAAAGCCTGGAGCCTGCTTTGGATTCTGTGTCTAACTCTCTCTCTGCCCCTCACCAACTCGTGCTCTGTCTCTCAAAAATAAATAAATGTAAAAAAAATTTATAAAAAAAAAGGTTTACCTGATGAAAGAATAATATTTGGACTGTATTGGGTGTAATAACATATATTATTAAAATTACTTTTACCCATTTCTTTTTATGGGCAGTGGACAGTGCTGTATTAAGATAGCTTATTTTGTTTTTTACTTGCATAAACCCTATGCAAACAGGAATGCTTTAAGATCCATTTCTGATGTTTTCCAACTGACCCAAGTTGATTTTGTAGAAATCTGAAGTTCTTTTAAGAGAAACTCAAAGTTATTTTTGGTAGATAAAATAGCCTCAGAAGTTCAAGTTGGGTGGAGATTAACTGCTCCCCTACAATTTTGTTCAAGTGTTGGACCAAATTCACACAGACACATATTTCTTTTTTCTCCTTCTCCTTCTCCTTCTCTCCCTCCTCCTTCTCCTCCTCCTCCTCCTCCTCCTTCTTCTTCTAAATAAATAAATGTTTATTTTAATTTTGAGAGAGAGAGAACATGAGTAGGAGAGGGGCAGAGAGAGGGAGACACAGAAGTAGAAGTTGGCTCGAGGCTCCATGCTGTCAGCATAGAGCCTGATGTGGGGCTCAAACTCATGAACTGTGAGATCATGACCTGAGCCAAAGTCATAGGCTTAACTGACTGAGCCCCCCAGGTGCCCCAGGCACATATTTTTTAATTAAGCATTTATTCTTTTTTTTAAACATTTTTTTTTTTAGTGTTTTATTTATTTTTAGGAGAGAGAGAGAGAGACAGCGTGAGCAGGGGAGGGTCAGAGAGAGAGGGAGTCACAGACTGAAACAGGCTCCAGGCTCTGAGCCGGCAGTCAGCACAGAGCCCGATGCGGGGCTCGAACCCACGAACCGCGAGATCATGACCTAAGCGAAAGTCGGACGCTTAACCGACTAAGCCACCCAGGTGCCCCAATTAAGCATTTATTCTGATGCAGGCCCCCAGAAGTTCATACAGCCTGCTTTCTAGTCTCAATCAAAATCTTCCTATGCCAGCCATCTTTTATAGGAGTGACAAAGGAATCAAGTGCCTTTCTGAGAAGTGCAGGCCACAGGCCTCCCTGGAATCTAAACCCTGTTGATGCAAAGGTGGAGTCTGTCTCAAAATACCTGGGCCCTTGCACATGCCTGACTGCTGTAACTCTATTCACACGAGGATGGACAGGGTCTTAAATATGTTTGCCAACTACTTATCTGCCTTTATTAAGGAAAGCCGATTGCTTCCATTCATGCTTTTAAACAAGTGATTAATAAGTCAGTAAAAATTCCCTTGGCAAGCCCTCAGGCACTGGCAGCTGAGCATTGCTGAGGAGTCTATGGAGATGGAGGAACCCAGGTAACACTCACCTTAATATCACACCGGACTGCGGTAGGATTAAGGCAGCTCCAGCCATCACAGCACTGAGTTATTTTTTTTTAATGTTTTTATTTATTATTGAGAGAGAGAGAGAGAGACAGACAGAGAGCATGAGTTGGGGAGGGGCATAGAGAGAGGGAGACACAGAATCTGAAACAGCCTCCAGGCTCTGAGCTAGCTGTCAGCATAGAACCCGACGTGAGGCTCAAACCCACGAACCATGAGATCATGATCTGAGCCAAAGTCAGATGCTTAACAGACTGAGCCACCCAGGCGCCCCAGCACTGTCTTCTTAAGAGCACAGTAATCCAGCCTATTTGGTTTTACCTAAACAAGATCACGGAGATATAAGTCAGTAAACTATCAGAATGTTTGATGAGAACACCGAGCCTTGTGTCATACATGTCACTTCCCACTTTAAGGGAATAAACAAACAGTATTCACCACAGCAATTATTCTAAAAAAATGCATGTTGTATTAAAGATACATAGTGTCAGGGAAAGTGTCAGCAGTACTTGGGAGAAACTATTCAAATGAAGTTTTCAGTGTTAATGGAAAATTCTTTCTTGGTCTTTCTTAGAAACTCAACTTACTGATGCTGAGATATAGAACAGATATAGATAGAACTTAAATTTTAAGGCCATTGGTATGTAGATATATCCTAATCTTCTCCCTGATCTTTCTAGGTAAAATCTTTGCAGTGCTGGCACTATTGACATTTTGGGCTAGAGAATTCTTTGTTGTGTGGGGCTGTCTTGGGTATCGTAGGATATTTTGCGGCATCCCTGGCCTCTACCTACTAGATGCCCGTAGTCACACCCCACTGCCCAAGTGGTCACGATTGAAAATGTTTCCAGGTATTACTAAATGCTCCTTTGGGGGTCAAATAGTCAGTCTCTGTTGAGAACTGCTGTCCTCGACCAGGACCAACGGGCTCATCCAATGCCTTATTGGAAATGTGGAATCTCAGACACTCTCCCAGACCTACAGGACAGGAATCAGTGTTTTAATAAGACCCTGGGAGGTACATGTGCTTGTGCGCCTGGCCGGTTTCCCACCCGTGTGCCCATGCCTCCACTGTGCAGCCCCGCTGAGCTGGACGTGTGGCTCCCTTTCTCATTGCAGGAAGCTGATGAAGCCTTACTGCATAACCTCCGCCTTCAGATAGAGGCACAGTTTCTGCAGGACGACATCAGTGCAGCAAAGGACAGGTACAAAAAGGTAACTGTGGCCCTTCCGAAGCCCTTCCCTAGACAGCCCAGGTTGGGGTTGGCCAGACAAGTCCAGGGCACGTGTGGCTGAAATGTGAGCCTGCTACAGTGGGTTACTTTTGTGTGGATTTTGCCCCTGAACCAAAGGGGACTCTGGGTTGGTTGCTGGGTGGCACTCAGGGAGCCGGACATAGGGAGAGGAGGAGGCAGTAGTGTGTGTGTTGTGGGGAGGGAACCACTGTCTGTTTCGTATGTTACAAACTGATCTTACACAGATCCGTCTTGAGTAAGCTAGGACCTGTCAGTTGTTTTGGCTCAGAAAATGCAGAAATGCGGAAAATGCGATGTAGCTATTTATAGTCCTGTCTCTAAGCCAGTTAGTAGAGGGAACACAGGGCATTCAGGAGCTTCCTCTCAGGAAGCATTTGGCTCTGTCTCTCACCCCTGCTAGCTGCTCACAGGCCTGACTTTGCAGGGCTTTAGCGTACTGGAAAAATCAAATCCTGGAGCTGCGTAACCATGGGCACATGGCCTCCCCACTCTGAGCTGCTTCATCTTCAGAATGCAAATGCCAGACTCTCCTTCTGCACAGCTGTGTGGTTCACTGAGTGTAGCAGACCTGTGAGTCTGGCCGTGGGGCTGACCTCTCTGCTGGGCTCTGGCCACTGTCCAATTGCCAGTATCTGCCGGCTCGGCCTCCGGACGCTCTCCGGGCAGGGGAGGGTGGCGCTGCCTCATGGCAAGTGTTGGGGAACTGATGCCCCAGGAGCAGTCTCAACCAGTGATGGGTGCACATTGTTGGATTCCTACCCCAGCTCTCTCTTACCTGCTGTTCTGCACGGCTCTCAGCATCCCCCGCTGGCCTGAGCACCAGGTGCCCAAAGGGTAACTTACATGCTAACACACTCCTTATTGGCTGTCTTGCCTTTCCTGTCTCACTTCTCCCTCTAATAAAGTTTCCTGGCATCTTCACCCAAATTAACTGTTTGTACTCAGACCTCTTGGGGCCTGTATGTGAGCCAGTTCAGGCTGCTAGAACAAAGTACCACCACCTGGGTGGTTTTCTATGCAACAGACGTTCATTTCTTATAGTTCTAGGAGCCAGAACACTGAGAACAGGGTGCATTCCCAGGTTCTGGTGAGAACCCTCTTCTTTGCTTGCATACATCCCCCCCTCACTGTGTGCTCACCTGGGCTTTCCCTGATGCCAGCTCTTCAAATTTTTTTAAATGTTTATTTATTTTTGAGAGAGAGAGGGGGAGACACAGAATCAGACGCAGGTACCAGGCTCTGAGTAGTCAGCACAGAGCCCCACACGGGGCTTGAACTCACAGATGGTGAGATCATGACCTGATCCGAAGTCGGATGCTCAACTGACTGAACCACCCAGGTGCCTCTGGCTGTTTGGTGTCACTTCTTATAAGGGCACTAATCCTGTCCTGGGGCTCCATCCTCATGACCCCATCTAAATCTAGTTATTTCCCAAAGGCCCCACCTCCAAACCCCATCCCACTGATGGTCAGGGCTTCAATGCATGACATTTGGAGGAATGTAATATTCAATGTCTAACAGTCTGCTTCTGGGGAAATGGAGGCAGTGTGGTAGTAGATACTCTCTTCCTGCCTCAGCGTGGACCTGCCTCAGCACCATGGGAGGCGCTGTTGTTTGCACTGAAGGGGTCCCCCTCCCTATGACGTTCCTCTGCCTGGCCTGTTCCCCTCCCTCCCTACCCCATCGAGGCCATGTAGAACATGATAATAAGAGCTCACACTGTGAAGCTTTTGTGCATTATCTCGTTGGTCCCAACAGCAGCCTCCTGAAATAGTGTCTTAGGGTAGGCTGCCTACCAGCAGAGCCCAAGTGGTGATTTTTGTGCGATTGCTGTATTAGTGGTGAGCTCCCAGGAGGAGAGGAGGGGGAACAGCGGGGGTGTGGGCTTAGTTGGAGTCTGTCCAGTTTGATCCCATGGGAAGCTCTGGGACACGAATCACTCACTCCACAAGGTTGGTCTGGGGTGGGGGCAAGGTGGGGGCGAGGTGGGACTGGGGGCCATTGCTTCCTGGACAAGATAGCCATTGTCTGGAGGAGGGGAATTGTCTGCGCTACGCCATCGGCCCTTACGCAAGGAGTGGGACACGGGTGTTCTGCTGGGAAGGAGGATCTGGCACCCCCTCCAGATTGTTAATCATCTTATAAGGAAGAGCCTGAATTTTAGGAGGTTTGAATTGCTTACCACACACAACTACTAAGCGATTTAGTCTGGGATCATCCTTTGAAGCACTGCCCTGTTCTGGGGTCAGAAAGAGTCCTTTGTACCCTGCAGGGTCTCTCTGTCCCCCACCTCCCCTTTCTCTCATAGCTTTGCCATTCATGGGGTCTAGGAAGACTAGCAGCAAAAGCATCCATGTAATTGAGGGGAAGTGGCGAGATAAACAAGCCTCTTTATTCATCCGTCCCCTTGTTCTTATGAAGATTAAAGAGGATGTTAAGTGTCCACTGCACAGGTCATCATCTGTCTTGTCTGTCACGGTGAACATGTGAAAGCATTCACCCCTGGGGTCACCCGGTCCTGGAGGCAAAATCTCAAGTTTTAATGAGAGTGCTTTCCTTCCCCCAACAGAATCTTCTGGAAATTCAGACCTACGTCACCATCCTGCAGCAGATTGTCCAGACCACCCCTCAAGCATCTGCCATTACAAGTGGGATGAGGGAGGTAAGAATTGGAACCCAGGCTGCCTGGAGAGGGCGCTTACACTCCCAAGGGCCTAGTTTAGCAGAGACTCAGGTGAGGTGTTAGGTGGAGTGGGACAGGTTGGACCAGGCGCCCGAGCTGCGCTGCGCTCACTGGCTGCGCTCTCACTCTGTGTTCGCCTTTGAAGTTTATCCTTCCATTCTTTTACTCGGACTGGGAACACTGGTATTTAGACATCTGAAGACACAAACTGTGTCCCTGACCATTGTCTTAGGCATTTTCTCTTGAGAATTCCAGGCCATTCTTCCTTGTGTAGTTCATAAGAAACGGCCAGACTGTTCCCCAATGCAGTTTGCACTGTTGCAGTCCATCAGCGAGGAGAAAATTCGCGTTTCTGTTGTTTTGCGTCCTTGCCAGGACTGGGGATGTTAGGTTTTCGTTCTGTTTGTGCTTTTTGCTCTTCTAACAGGTGTGTTGGGTATCTTACTGTGGTTTTAATTGTGTCCCCCTGTGACTAACGATGTTGAGCATCTTCTTGTGGGCTTATTTGCCATCCATGTCTTTTTTTTTTTTTTTTTTGTGGTATCTGATCCAGTCTTTTGCCCATTTAAAAAAAAGTGTTTGTTTTCTTATTCTCCTTATCAATTGGACCATGAATTTTGAGCCCCAGACAGTTCATGACTATATTTTCAACATTGGCCTCTGTTAATGATTATGTGAGTTTGTTGTATGAAAACTACTGGGGAAAAAATAGAAATTACAGAAGCTGACTTAAAAAAAATTTTTTTTTACTGTTTATGTATTTTTGAGAGAGAGAGAGAGAGAGCAAGAGCAAGAGTGCAAACCATGGAGGGGCAGAAAGAGGGAGATACAATATCCAGAACAGGTTCCAGGCTCTGAGAACAGAGCCTAATGTGGGGTTTGAACTGCAAGATCATGACCTGAGCTAAAGTCAGATGCCTAGCCAGCTGAGCCACCCAGGTGCCCCTGAAGCTGATTGTTTTAAAATGTGAATTTAGAAGTAAAAGCCTATTTCTTAAAAAAAATTTTTTTTAAATGTTTATTTAGTTTTGAGAGAGAGAGAGAGAGAACTCGCATGCAAGTGTGAGTAGGGGAGGGGCAGAGAGAGCGCGACACAGAACCCAAAGCAGGCTCCAGGCTCTGAGCTGTCTGCACAGAGCCCAACACGGCGCTTGAAGACAGAAGTCAGATGCTTAACCGACTGAGTCACCCAGTGGCCCCCTCATTTCTGAGGCAATGTTCCACATTCTTTCTTCACTGTGCTCTCTAGCTGCTGGTGTAGTGTTTCCCTAATGTAATTTAATGGATTTTGTGATGCACGCATGATGCATGTAAAAATAAAGTGACAATAATGCAGATTAAAACAAAAATGTCCAGAGGCTGTGGTAGGCTGATACAAGGTTTGGGGGGACTGGTCAACTGGTGAAATTCTGGTATTTTGCAAGGACAACTTAGGACAGTGGTGCTCAAACCCACTGACACTTGGAATCGCCTGGAAGCCTGCCTAGACCACACCCCAAGTCAGTTAATCAGCCTCCTGGCAGGTGTAGCCCTGACCCAGTCATTTAGAAGCTCCGAGGGCAGCGTGTGGACAAGCTGCAGAACCCACGGACAGGGGGGCTGGCTGCTTGGGTCTTTTTGTTTTAATGTAATACTTTTTATAGCAAAGCTAAAGAAATCCCAGAACTTCTTTTAGAAGACACTTTATTTTTTTAAAATGTTTATGTTTTTTAAATGTTTCATTTATTTCTGAGAGAGAGAGAGAAACAGCATGAGCAGGGGAGGGTCAGAGAGAAAAGGAGATACAGAATCTGAAACAGGCTCCAGGCTCTGAGCTAGCTGTCAGCACAGAGCCTGACATGGGGCTTGAACCCACGATCTGTGAGATCATGACTTGAGCTGAAGTCGGATGTTTAATCGACTGAGCCATCCAGGCGCCCCCTTTTTTTCTTTTTTATGTTTTGAGAGAGATAGAGAGTGCAGGGGAGGGGCAGAGAGAGACACACAGAGAATCCCAATCAGGCTCCACACAGTCAGCTCAGAGCCTGCCTTGGGGCTCAAACTCACGAACCATGAGATCATGACCTGAGCTAAAATCAAGAGTCAGACGTTTAACCAACTGAGCCACCCAGACGCTCCCAGGTTCAGTTCTTGATGAGGGCCTGCTCCCTGGTTTGTAGACAGCTGCTGCCTTGCTGGGTCCTCATATGGTGTCTCCTTGGTGCATCTTGGAAAGAGAGAGCCCTCTCTTCCTCTTCCTATAAGGACACTAATCCCACCATGAGGGCCCCATCCTCATGACCTCACCTAGACCTAATCATCTCCTCCAGGCTCCAACCTTTAAGACCATTGGGGGTCAGGGCTTGAGCATATGAATTGGGGTAGGGGCACATGAGCACGAAGAACCCTCTGAGCCCCTTTACCCTCTGGATTTCCTCACACATCAGGCACAGCGAGCGCTGAGTCTGGCTTTCTTTGTGCAGGAGAAGCTCCTGACGGAACGGGAAGCCGCCGCCCTGCAGAGCCAGCTGGAGGAAGGCCGGGAGGTGGTGTGCCTCCTGCAGGCACAGCGAGCCGAGCTACAGGCCCAGGTAGGGCGCCACACCCTCGAGTCCGCTGCTCGCGTTGGGCTTTCCCACCACACATGTCAGTTGAGCTTTACGACACATTTTATTCGGGTGTCACGCGCATGCAGGAAAGTGTACGAGTATCCGTCTGAGGGAATTCTCATGAGCTTAACACGCCTGTGTGTCCAGTGCTCAGGGCCAGAAACAGGCCGTCCTGAGCAGTGTGACCAGCCTTCCTGCTTGAAGTGAGGATTTCCCAGGATGCAGGACGTTCACGCCCGGACTGGCCAAGCCCCGGACAAACGGGAACCATGGGTCACACTATTTCCAGGACCCTCAGGGGTTCCCCTTGTGCCTGCTTTGAGTCACCCCCCGACCACCACCAAGGGTAAGGCTCTCCTGACTCCTGCACAATAGACCCGTTTTGCCTGCTTTAACCTTATTCTTAAAAATAAGAAGAGATGGACACATATTGGGATTTTTATTCTCCCATTCTATGCTTCCTGCTTCTCTTTCCACGACCTAAAATCTCTCCTTTGGAATTTGATTACAGGCTTGGGAGGGGGCAGTCGTGTCAGTGTTTGCCTAACCTCAGGATTCATTAGTGTAAAGTTCCCATTTCCACCACTCCCTCTGTGCCCCCCCCCTTTTTTTTTTGGCAAAGCTTAATTTGAAAACTAAAGTCACCGGAAGAACGCTCTCCTGTTTCCGTGGCCTCCCTTCTTGGTTAGTGAGCTCCGTGGCTCATCCCCTTGACTCTTTCAGGTCTGCACTCATTTCAGTCCCCTTCTGATGGGAGATATTGGGTTAAAATACTAAACCTTCATAGCCTGTGCAACTGCGCTTCTTAAGTCTAAAAAATAAATGGATGCTTGGTTTGACAAGGACACTTGAAAGGACAGGAGAACATAAAGTTTTAAAAATTGGACTATTTAAGAAACCTGGAACATTTATATGTCATATGTTACTCTGTCCCTATCCCTCCAATGTCTGCAAAATCAAAAACAGTTAAAGACACAACTGATCTGGTGCTTTTGTAGGTATTTGGTACCCTCCAAATCTGCCCGGGATCTCATGCAGGGACCACTGAGTTCTGGAATCTTCCTTTCTGCCCCACCACACACTGTCACTATGCAGCAACTCTCAGGGGGCCACTGAAAGCAAACCAGGGTCAGGTGATTGTCTCCCGGGGTAAAAATCACAGCTGGAGAAATCAAGAACTACCCTTAAACTCATCCTTTCATGACAAACCATGGGTTGGGGACCAGACGCACCATTTTGGTGACTTGGTAATTTGTGGTTTCCTCTGAGGCCCCGGAAGAATGGAGCGAGCATGAGTGAATGTGTGTGTGTATGTGTGTATGTGTATGCATGTCATGTGTTTATATGTGTAGATGTGTATATATGTGCATGTGTGTGCACGTTGTACACTATATGCATATATTTATATTTGTATATGTGTATAAGTCTGTGTATATGTGTGTGTGTATATATATGTACACCTTTGAATGTGTGTGTGTTTATGTATGTACATGTGTATGTGTGCACGCACGTGTGTGTGAATGAGAGACTGGAGAAGTGGATGCAAGCCCACTGGTCTTAGAGACTGGTATTTTCCAAAACACTGTTTACAACTTATTATTGGGTTGTAAAATGAATTCAGCAGAATTGAGTGGCAGTAATAAAGAAGAAATTGACAACACTAGAGTAAGGTAGAATAAGAAATAACAGAGTGCATGGCATGTAACAGTGGGATTTGTTTTGTGAAGCCTGTATTTTAAATATCTGTGTTTGCATATTTAAATATATATATATTTGTTCAAATGCACACACACACACAGGCACACACATACATTTGTATGATGTACATGGTTTGTGGTGTTAAATGTGGCTCTTCCAATGGGCGTGGTGACAAAGTTGAAAACCCTGCCCTAGAGACCGAGAAATTGAAAGAGCCCAGCTGATGTGGTAAATCCCACTTCCAGGGCAAAAAAGTTTCTGTTTCTATGTGCATATATTTATTTGTTGAATGTAAAAGTAAGACATTTCATAAAGGCTTAACCTAGTTTCCGAGAACGTGAAATTAATCTGTCTGCTTGGCCACCTGTCCCCTTCCCCATAGTTGCTTCAGGAAGACTGGTCTTGCTCTGATGTTGTCGTCTCTCTAAGTCGGGGGTCTTCACATTTTCTGTGCCCTGCCCAACCCCCCAGCAGTCTGGCAAAGTCCATGGTCCACTTCTCAGAAAGGTGTTAAAGTCATATATAAAATGAGGTACATGTAATTAAAAGGAAACCAATTATATTGAACCAGTTATCAAAATATTACCAAGTCATTTTCTATATAATAATATATGTGCTTATATCAAATAAAACTAGCAGTGGGTCTAATGAAACAAGCTGTATTCATTTTCTCTCAATGCTATAAGACATTACTATACCTGCAAGGGCTTGAAATAGTAGTCCTTTGTCTCACATTTCCATAAATTAGAAGGCTGGGCAGGCTTGGTTGGTTTTTCTGCTCTCTGTCTTACAAGGCTGATAGAGAAGTGTCAGCCGGCCTTCTTATCTGGAGGCTCTCAGTGGAGAATCTTCCAGTCTCGATCAAGTTGTTGGCAGAATTCAGTTCTGTGTGCAGGTGGGATTAAGAACCCCATTTCTTTGCTGGCTACCGGCTAGGAGCTATTTCTAGAAGCCACACACATCCCTTGGCATATGGCCTCCTCCATCCTCAAATCCAGCATCTGCACATGGACTCTTTCTCAGGCATCTAATCTCTCTGATTTCTGCTTTTAAGGGCTCATGTGATCAGGCATAATCTATAAAATCTCCCTATTTTTTTTTAGGCCAACTGATTAAGAGCCTTAATCACATCTGCAAAGTCCCTTTTGCCACGTAACAACATATTCATGGGCCTAAAGCTTAGGGGCAAAGGTCATGGAGATCTAAAGTCTGCCGAATTAGTACTGATTAAAACGCAGATATGGCAGGTCCCACCCAAGAGTTTCTGACTCAGTAGTTCTGGGATGTGGCCCAAGAATTTGCATTTCTAGATTTCCAGCTGATGATGCTTCTGGTCTAGGAATCACCCTTTGAGAACACTGGTGTAGGGTGGGTCCCAGGTTGGGTCAGAATGTTCTAGGTCTGGTCTACCTGAGTCCCTGGATTGGGTCTTTCACATCCTATTCAGGAGATATTCATGGCTGGCTTTTTGTTGATTTTGAAAGGTTCTAGTGATTGCCCAATGGAGTGGCTAAGTTGAGTGCTCTAAGGGAGATTTGGTGACTTAGCCCCTCAGCAGGGCCAGTGCTGTGACTAGGGACAAGGGAGGGGGGTGGGGAAGGGAGAACTCCCTGTAGCTTGAGTGCTCCAACCTGGCAGAATCAAGGCATCTGGTTCTGCTCGTGGTTGGAGCTTCTGATGCTTCCAGAGCCCTCTGTAGCGTGGTCCTCAGGGTGAGATCCCTAAACCAGCAACATCAGCATCACCTGGGAACCTGTCAGAAATGCACATTCCCAGGCCCATCCCAGACCTACTGAGTCAGGAACTTTGGGGTGGGGCCCAGCAATTTCTGTTTTAACAAGCCCTCCAGGTGGTTTTGCAGGCTCAAGTTTAAGAACACTAGTCCAGGGGTGTCTGGGTGGTTCAGTCGGTTAAGCATCCAACTTCCACTCAGGTCATGATCTCACATTTCGTGGGTTCAAGCCCTGTGTTGGGCTCTATGCTGACAGCTCAGAGCCTGGAGCCTGTTTTGGGTTTTCTGTGTCTCCCTCTCTCTCTGGCCCTCCCCAGCTCATGCCCTGTCTCTCTCAAAAATAAATAAACATTAAAAAACAAAAACAAAAAACCAGACACTAGTCCAAAGGATGGAAGGAACAGCACTCTCAAAGCTGGCAGCCCCTTCTTTGAAGCCGAACACAGTCCATGCATGAGACCACTGGGATGACACTTCCTGGAGGCGGAAGAAAAGGAACAGGCACTTCTGGCTCCCTAAATTACCTTTCACTGAGAGTTTCTGAGACAGGGAAGTGGAAAAGGTCATGTGTTACTTGGAAGGAATGAACCTCCCAGGTATCATTTCTCATTAAAGTTGCCTAGCACCATCTAGTGGTAGATTTTGGAAAGACAGCATGTAATCCATGAAGGATACTTGTCTTCTTCCGTTTCCTTCTTAGATTGTTTTTCTTTTTTTTTAAATTGAAAAAATTAGTATACAGTGTTATGTTAATTTCACGAGTACAATGTAATGATTCAATAATTCTATGTGTCAGTGCTTGAAGATAAGTGTACTTTTAATCCCCTTTATCTTTTTCACCCATCCCCTCTGTCCCCTCCCCTCTGGTAACCACCAGTTTGTTCTCTGTATTTAAGAGTATTTTCTTTGTCTGTTTTTTCCTTTGTTTGCCCATTTACTTTGTTCCTTAAGTTCCACATGTGAGTGAAATCATATGGTATATGTCTTTCTCTGATTTATTTCACGTTGCATTATACCCATCCATGTTGTTGCAAATGGAGTAATCTCTTTCTTTTTTACGGCTTGAGTGGTATTCCATTGTATACCACATCTTCTTCAGCCATTCATCTACTAAATGGGAGGAGATATTGCAAATGACATATCCAATAATGGGTTAATATCCAAAATATATAAAGAACTTATACAATTTAACACCAAAAAACAACTAATCCAGTTAAACATGGGTAGAGGACCTGAATAGATATTTTTCCAAAAAAGACATATAGATGACCAACAGACACATGAAGAGATGCTCAACATCACTCATCAGCAGGGAAATGCAAATCACAGCCACAATGAGGTATCACCTTACACGTATCAGAGTGGCTAAAATCAAAAACACAAGAAACAACAAGTGTTGGTGAGGATGTGGAGAAAAGGGAACCTGTTTCCTTTTTAAAGAAGACCTTGAATCCAAAGGAATCTGGGAGCCTAAGAGGACCCAAGCAGGACGTCACCCGTCCAGATGGGGCTTACTGTGTGGCACTGCCAGGGTCTGGTTGACCCATGCTGTGCAAAGGCAAGCCCTACACCTGTGCTTGAATGCTGACTCCTTCATTCATCCATGACTGCCAAGCTCCGTGTGAGGTTCAGGGAATACTGATCAGAGCTTGATGTAGCTCCTGCCTGCAGCGGCTCTCAGACTATCTAAACCATCCAAGGAGAAACACAGCAGTCACTCTTGTTCAAGATGAAGTTCATATTGCTGCACAGCCCACCCCATCCACCTGCCTCGCTCTCCAGTCTCCATGTGGCCGCTTCCCTCCAAGAAATCCTGGGCTGGGCGTGAGCTGCTCTCTCTTCTCTTCTTCTCCTGACCCCCCTGTGGCACCTGTCCCTTTACTCATCACTTTTCCTCTTTCTGGAAGCACCTTCTCTTTTTCAGTACCTAGGACTGGCCTTCTCTGACATCTCCCAGTACCTGAGGGCCTCCACAACCTTTGTGATGTGCTGGGCCTGTCGCTGTGATTGAGCCACCTCCCCCACACCAGGCTGTAGGCTCTTCGGAGGAGCGTCCGTGTCTCATTTTCAGGCAGCCAAGCAGGTGTCAAGGTTGCTCACATCAGAGATGTCTCTTCAGCCCCCTTTAAGGTGGTTAAAGTGGGGCTCTTATTATTTTCCTTGAACACCCCTCTTCTGATGAGTAGTTTAAATCATTGAGCTGTAAAAACCACACTGATGTAGATATAAATCTGGTGTTGTAAAGCCAGTCAACACGTCACTGGACACAGCGGAGTCTTGGTGACACAGGCAGAGTTATGCAGAGCGCCAGTGCCTGAAAGGAAGACACCTTTTAGTGGTGCCTAGAGCCTCCTCCTGGGGCAGGCACCCCTCCCACACATTCCGCCAGAGGACAGTCATCACCCACCCACTCAGCCACTCCCAACAACAAACCACCAGCTCATGAGATAGACAACAAATCATGCTTGCCCTGCAGGGCTCAAAGGTTATAGATGACATTCTTCTTGTTTCTGATTTCCCAGTTAGTGACAATGCTTTGCCATCCTGTTTACCATTTAGAAATTTGCTAAGTGGATGTGCTCAGGGGCAGAGGGGTCTATGTGTTGGTCACCCTGAGTCCCTCCCTAGGTCTTCAGTGAGAACACGCTGGTGATGCTTGCCTGGTGATGTGTAGGAATAGGGGGTTTCCCAAGAGCCTGGAGGGAGTGGGTGAGTGATTGCGTGAGTGCGTGAGTGAGTGTGTGTGTGTGTGTGTGTGTGTGTCCTGCTCACCTGCAGCTGGGAGGAGGCTGATGCAGGGAGGCCCATGGCTTCAGGAAGTGTCGCAGACCCTGTACAGGTGGCTCTGAATCCTGTATTTATTGGCAAGTCACTTTGCCTGTGTGTCTCAGTCTCCTCATCTGGAAAGCGGGAGCAATAGCAGCCCCTCCCCCGTAAGGTTGTTGTGAGGCTGATGACTTGCTCCAGGGGAGAACTTGCCAGCACAAACCATTATTCTCTTGCTGATTGAGGAACCCATACCCAAAGGGGGCAATAGATTCGCTTCACATGTAATCTTTGGTTGTTTTTACTCTGTTCTGGAACACTTTAAACGTATATAAAAGTGAGAGAACAGTCTCAGGAGCCCCTAGACCTCCATCCTCCAACACATGGTCCCTCTTATATCACCTGCCCCCTCCCCCCCATTCACCCCCATGTAATGGTGAAGCAGTCCCTGACACCAGATCATCTCATCTGGCAATATTCCAACTGTATCTCTAAAAGATGAGGGTTGCTTGTATAGAATGTAAGGCCATTAACCCACCTTTAAATTTTTTTTTTAATATTTATTTATTTTTGAGAGAGAGAGACACACACAGAACACTTGCAGGGGAGGAGCAGAGAGGGAGGGAGACACAGAATGTGAAGCAGGCTCCAGGGTCCGAGCTGTGCTGCCCGGGCCCCAGCATGGCCAGTGTCCCCCAGGTTTGTTCTCTGGACTGCTCCATAGAAAAGGAACTCCTAACTTCAGGGTTCTTCCACTCCTGGATGGCTTCTGGTCTCCAAGATTCGAGCTTCAAAGGGGGCCTTTTAAATTCCTTATTTCCTGGAAGTATTTCCTAGAGGATATGAACCCCGGGATAGGTAAGAAAATGTGGCTGCACCAGGAATCAGTGGTATGCCTTGGTATCTGATATGACAGGTTACTGTTTGAATTTAAAACCCTTTTTTTTTTTTAATGAGGAACAGAAACTCGATCAAACTAGCTTAAGCAGGAAAGGGTACACTGTGACTTTATTTTGAAATTATTTTAGAGTTCTCAAACACTGCAAAAATAGCACATCCAGCTTCCCCAAGTGTTAGCACCTTGACTACCACAGTACGAGATCAGGAAATTAACAACGATAGCATCCTTGTAAGAGACTTGACAAAAATTTCACAAATACCCCACCAACGTTTTTTTCTGGTCCCAGATCCTACTTGTAATTTAGGTGTTGTGTTTCCTTAGTCTACCCAATCTGGGATAGTTCCTGCCTTTCTTTGTCTTTCATGACATTGATGGCCAGTTATTTTGTGGAATGTCCCTCCTTGTGGGCCACCCAATGTTTTTCCAGGATTAAGCTGAGGCTATGCGTTTGTGGCTGGAATGCATAGAGGGAAAGTGTCCTCAGTGTGTCTCATCGGGGGAGTGTCATGTGGGCGTGTTTTCTGCCGGTGATGTAACTTGGATCATTTGGTTAAGGTGGTGTCTGCCGGGTTTCTCCACTGTGAAGATAGTACTTTCCCCCCAAGAGGAGCAAGATATAAAAAGGTGGTTGATGAAATTTGAGACAAGGTGTGGGGCAGGAACCAGGAATTCGGATCTGAGGCAGCTGCTTAATCTCTCTCTTTCTTCTCTCTCACAAGCTCTCTCATCTCTGCTCTCCTTTGCCCTTAGGCTTCATTTCTCTGCCCCTCTGAAGAATTGCCTCTCTCAGTTTCTCCAGGCACGTTATGAAAGATGGCCACTCCAAAATGGCGGCCCCAAAGTTATATGATCCTGCCATCAACTCTCTGCTATTTCTGAGCTCCCTTTCCAAATTCCACAGGGAAGAAGCATGTGATAGGCCTGTCTGAATCGGGCCCAGCCCTTGTTTTTTTTGTTTTGTTTGGTTTTTTGTTTTTTTTTTTTTTTTGGTTTTCTTTTTTTTTTTTTTTGTTTTTGTCTTTTTTTATGGGGTTTTTTTTTTTTTGTTTTTTTTTTCCTGGGTTATTTTTTTTTTTTTCCCTTTTTTTTCTTTTTTCCTTCCTTTTTTCCTTCTTTCTTTCTTTTTTTCCTTTTTCTTTCTTTTTTTCTTTTCTTTTTTTCCTTTTTTCTTTCTTTTTTTTCTTTTCTTTCTTTCTTTTTTTTTTTTTTTTTTTCTTTAAATCTTTTTTATCTTGTTTTTTAATGTTTTTTTTTTTGGTAATTTTTTTTTTCTATGTCTTTTTTTTTTTTTAATTTTTGTATTTTTTGTTTCTTGGTTGTTTTTTTTGTTTATTTTTTTTTTTTTTTTTTTTGTTTTTGTTTTTTTTTTTTCTTTTTTTGGTTTTATTCTTTTTTTTTTTTTCTTTTTTTTTTTTTTGTTTCTTTGGTTTTTTTTTTCCTTCCTTTTTTTCCTTCCCCCCCCCCGCCAAAATAAAGAAATAAACTTTTAAAAAAAAGTGAGGAATCAGGTGTCCTCCTAGGAGTAATCACCCTCTAGATTTGTCCAACATACACATTCAGCTGCATGTGAGATACCTTGTGGCAAACATACATGAAGTTGAATTCAGATACCTGTCCAGCCCCCCATGACTCACTGTGTGGGCCAGAGACCAGCACCAGTGGTGTCGTGTGGACACTGGTTAGAACTGTGGAGCCGCTGACCTCTCCCAGACCTGCTGAGTCAGGATCTGCAGCTTAATAGCATCCTCCAGTGGTTCAAATGTGCAGTGAATTTTGGGATGTTCTAGGTACAAGTGACTTTTTGGTTTACTCTGCTTCATTTTGTTTTGAGGACTGATAAGGCACGGTGAATTCTTTTCTACTGGGGAAAATGTGATTATAAAAGTCATGACTGCACACATACTGAGCTTATTGTAAAAAAGGACACATGTGGCTCTTTGTGCATTGGTGGGAGCTCTTAAAGTGACTGTAAGACCACCTTATATTCTGTCATATTTCTATTTTCCTACCTTAATTTGGACTTGTTCTGCCTTAGTATTTAAATAGTGTTAGCCTGAAGCTACTTTACTTAACCGACTGAGCCACCCAGGCGCCCCATGAAGCTATTTTACGTATACAAAAGTGCATCCACACAGTTTAGCTACTGAAACATATATGTAACTCTACTAGTTAGAAATCAGGAAAAATTAAAGTGCCACAGTGATTAAATAAGAACAAGGAGCACCTGCCCCTGACTTCATTATTTCAGTGAAAATAGCATATTGTCTATTTAGTATGTGGACTTCTTTCTATTTATCTTTAATTTTTTTAATCTTTATTTTTGAGAGAGATAGAGACAGAGTGCAAGTGGGAAAGGGGCAGAGAGAAGGAAGACACAGAATCCAAGCAGGCTCCAGGCTCTGCGCTGAGTGCACAATACCCAACTCGGGGCTCAAACTCACAAAAGCGAGTTCATGACCTGAGCCAAAGTCAGACACTCAACCGACTGAGCCACCCAGGCACCCCTCTTTCTATTTATCTTTTAGCCAGGTTTATGCTAACTCAGAATATGAGTGATCTAGTTTATTTGAATTGTACACTTTATTCCACAGACAGGTTTTCTTTTTGTTTTCTGGGTTTGTCATCCTGAGACGTCTGTGTCCTGGGGAGAAGCAGGGTGGGTTTCCTTACAGCTTTGTCTTTTGCCCACAGACAGCGGCCCTGGAGCACGCTATTAAAGATGCCCACGAGTGTTATGATGATGAGATTCAGCTCTATAACGAGCAGATCGAAACCCTGCGGAAGGAGATTGAGGAGACCGAGAGGAGCCTGGAGAGATCTTCCTATGACTGCCGGCAGCTGGTGGTCGCCCAGCAAACCCTGAAGAATGAGCTGGAGCGGTACCACCGGATCATTGAGAATGAGGGCAACAGGTGCGGTCACAGACGGGCACGGCCCAGAGGCGGTGCATCTCTCTCTACGTCCTGGCCGCTGGCTTAGTTCCCAGGTCCTCTATGAGTGCTTCCTGTGTGCCAGGCACTGTCCCAGGTGGTAGGGGAGGAGTCAGGACCCCATGGCCTCGTGGAGCTGGAATGCTAGCTGGGGAGGCAGCTGACGGGTGGCTTTGTAACAGATGACAAGTACCATGGAGTAAATTGTGACGGGGGAGAGGGGAGTGGCAATGGGGCGATGGTGGGAATGTTTGAAATTTTAAGTAGGGTGGTTGCAAAAGACCCCATGGAGAAGGTTGCTTTGGGCCCCACAGGCCTCTGGGGACATAAATGTCTTAGTACGTGGGATGCCTGGGAGTATTTATCCAGATGCTGCTGGTGAGGTGCCTAATGCAGTGCCTGGCACTCGACAAGCGCTCGGAGGTGTTGGTGTTATTACTGCTGCTACTATCATTGTTTTTGTCACCTGGACAGGTCAGTAATGTGACTGTCAATGCACTGGCTGGTCTCGTTCATAATGGAGCTGTGAGTTAAGCTCCATTAACTTCAGGATCACTGAGAAATTATCTGTATCCTTATCCCCTACCCCTGTTCCTATCCTATGTCCTTATCCCTGTCTCTATCCCTGTCCCCCATCCCTGTCCTTATCCCTGTCCCTATTCCTATCCCCTGTCCCTATCCTTACCCCCGTCCCTATCCCTGTCCCCCATCCCCATCCCTATCTCGTCCCTATCCCCTATTCTTGTCTGTTTCCCTATCCCCTATCACTATCCCCATCCCTACCCCCTATCTCTCTTTCTCTCTCTCTCTATTCCTCTATCTCTACATCATCTAAACCTACAGCCTCCATCATTACTCTGTGTCATTTGGGTGTACTGACACCTACACTTACATCTGCATCTACATCCACATGTGCATGTCATCTACTTCTGTATCATATAATCTGCACCTGTACCAACAGCACTTACATTTAAACGGACACCTATACCTATCCCTACATCTACATCATCTCCGCCTACCCCTACACTTACATCTACACCGTCTACGTGTATGCCATCTACGCCTCCATCTATATCCTCTACATCCACATCTACAACCACACCTCCGTCTACATCCTCTACATCTGTCTACAGCTACACCCCCATCTGCATCATCTACATCCACATCCACATCATTTACATCTGCACCTTCATCTCCGTCATTTACATCCACGTCTACACTTCCATCTACATCACATACATCAACATCTCCATCACCTACATCCACATATACACCATCTACATCCACATTTATATCTATACCTCCATCAACATCACCTACATCCACATCGTCTACATCCACATCTATATCGTCTACATCCACATCTACATCGTCTACATCCACATCTACAACTACACCTACATCTACATTATCTGCATCTTCATACTTCATCTACACCTGCATCTATGTCATCTTCATGTCTGTGCACACTTACACATGTACCTGTATCAAGTGTGTCTGCACCTACATCATGTCTGTGCTCACCTGTGTTGTGTACATGTGCATCTATCCATATCTGCATCTGCATTATTTATAACTACATCCACATCATCTGTATCTGTGTCCATGTCCATGTCCGTATCCATAGATATTATTCAGAGAGCAGATTGGGGACTCATAGAAGTTACCTCATAGAAGGTCTCTCACTTTATTAAGTTGTGATTCTTTGATTAAGTCTTACTGATTTGGGGAGTTTAGATTGAATTGAAAGAGAGGCATCCAGGATTGCCCCACTAGGAGCAGTTCCTTCCTTGTCTTAGAGTGCTGTGTCTTGGCCATGAGTGATCCAATGTTCAGCAGAGAAGGCAAGATTTTCTTTTTCTTTCTCTAGTTATGGTCAGTGGATTGTTGTGTAATCCTAAATTATATTTGCGTCACAGTGAACGCTTTATGCACACATGGAAATACGCCTTGTACTGGCATTTAAGTGACTGTGTGAAGATTTTTGTTTTGAAGGCAAGGCTTCACAAAAGGGTCATCGGATAGCCCTCTCATTGGTTTGCTTAAAACTTTGAATTTTGTTGTAATTTCAAGTTGATAGCAACGTCACAAGCACAGAACAAGGAACTCCTGAACACTCTATTCTCAGACTCACCACTTGTTTATATTTTGTCGCAATTGCTTAATCAATTTTTTCTCTATTTATATATAATGCATATTATTTTTTAAAAAAAGAGTTGGAGATACCATATCCTGCTTGCCCTAAATACTTCCACCTGGGCTTACTACTTTTTTATTAAAACAAGCAAAAACAAAAACTCTGTTCAACAGAGAAGTGGCATTTTTTAGATTACAAGCAATCCCTATTTTATAATTCCCCTGTGTGTTTCACAGTGTATGACTCAAGCTCAAAGAAATCTTCCACATTTTCATCTACTGTATAAGTGTGTGTATGTTTCATGAATAGTGTGATTTAGAGAAAGCTTTCCTCATTTTTGCTCACATTAAAGACTCACTCTTAATCCCCCACCATCTGTTTGGTTTGATGAATTCAAGATGGCAACCATCCTCTTTCTGGTTCTTTCTCCAGGCTGAGCTCCGCCTTCATTGACACTCCTGTTGCCCTGTTCACCCCAAGCCATGGAACCTCTCTTAGCTCTCGGCTTGGTGGAAAAGGTAATGCTTCCTAACCCTGGCTTCTGCTATTTTCCATCATGGAAAAGTGGGGGGAAAAAATCAAACGGCTCTCTTCCTGAGCTTAACATGTATGCTTCCTTCTGATCCACTTGAAAATTAAATGCTTTTATGTGAGGTCTTCTCTCCCTCTCTGATTCACTCCCACAGGTGCTGAGGGACTGAGTTAGAAAGCTTACAAGGAGAAAAATCAGACTGGGGGATAGGCCACCTTGGGAATGTCATCCTTGAACTTGAAGCATTAAATTGGGGGGAAATATAATTCAATATTCACTTTAGCAAAGGAAATGAGCTATGCTGTGCAAAAGTGCTTATTAATGCAGTGTCTGGGGCAGAGTCAACGCTCAATTATCCCTCTTTTCTCTTCCTTTCAAAACCAAGCAGAACCAGCTTGGTTGGCAAGCATGGCTTCTGCCTTCAACATTTGGTCCTTTGGGGATGGTTTCATGGACCTGAGAGATGTTACCTCACAGCTAAGTCTCCCTGGTGCTATAGGGGACAAGAAGAGGGTGCTGCTGATTGCTCGTACCTATGGTGCCTTCAAATCCATGTCCCTCAGAGAGCTCAGAGGAGTTTGTGGAAGTGGGTTTCAGAGTCAGAACATGTTGGAAGGGGGCCGCAGTCTCAGGGCTGGCTGTAGGAGAATGCGACCACACACAGGGCCCTGTACACACAAGGACAAGCACACACTTGGTGTGGTGCTCGGTTGTGACTGTCTTGAAACTGTATTTTTTTTAAAAACATTTTATTTTGAGAGGTGGGGGTTGGGGGGATGCACATGCATAGGAGAAGGGCTGCGGGAGAGGGAGAGAGAGAATCCCAAGCAGGCTCCACACTGTTAGTGCAGAGCCCAATGTGAGGTTTGAACTCACAAACCACAAGATCATGACCTGAGCTAAAATCAAGAGTCGGGTGCTCAACTGACTGAGCCACCCAAGTGCCCCACTGTCTGGAACTTCTTAATGATTTTGAACAGGGGGCTGCCTTTTCCTCTGGTTCCTGCAAGCCCCCCGCTTCCCCCACACCTGCCCCTAGCAGGCCATCTTTGACATGTCTCTTTGTACATCCCTTTCGCCCTTATGGCTTCATGGTTCATTTCAGCTTTCTGAGTCAGCCCGTGCTAGATGCCTTTGCTTGTCTGTCATCCTCTGGTTCATGGAGGGAGGGCATGGAGAAGACTTTCGAGATGAAACTTGTGTGTGAGTTAGGTTGAAATGCCTCATGGATGAAGCAAGGCGAGATTGTGTATGTTTTCTTAAACTTTCAGTTTTTCGTTTTAGCTAGTGTGAAGAAATGAAGACAGCCTTGGGAACAGGGGATTCCTTTCATTTCTGAATTTAGTACCTTGCTTCCTCTCTTGCCCAGGAGGAAAGGGATGCTGCTCAAGGAGCATTTGTATCTATTTAGCTTGGGATGCATGTGGAGCAGGGGAGATTGATTCCCCTGCCTGAAGCCATTCAGAACACACCAGAGGCCCAGCCAGCTTTGCCATCTCTCCTTTGGGGAAGTCCAGGCGAGGGTAACTCTGTAGATTGAGTTCCATCGACGAGCCTGTAGATCAGTATTCATCATGAGCTCAGCAGGGGCTGGGGTGGGGACACCGAGTGTTATTGGGGTAGAATGTCTCAGTAAGTTGCGCCCAGTGGGGTGGAAACTATGAGTGCCAGAACAGGCAGTAGCTTTCCTCCTCTCTGCAAGCCCAGAGGGATCAAGCGACTTGTCCAGAGTCACCTGGCTGGTTGCAGAGCTGGGACCTTCATGGGGGCCATGAACGCTTCTGGTCAGACCCAGGCATCTTCCCCTCTTCGTTTTGCCCCATGTATGGTAAACTCTACCCCTGTGCTAGGCCTTGGTCTCCAAAACAGCATATTTTCCAGCAAATACATTTTCTTCCTCTTTCATTGACAAACTTGACTTATGCCCCTGCCCCCTCCCCCCCCTTTTTTTAGATCTCACTAGGGCTGTGCAGGATATAACAGCAGCAAAACCAAGACAGAAAGGTCTTCCCAAGAACATTCCGAGGAAAAAGGAGATTATAGCTAAAGACAAAGCTGATGAGAGTCTGGAAGACATACCACTGAAAGGTCCAGAAGACACAAAGCTGGTGCAGGTGGTACCCAAAGAAGAAGGTGAATGTAAGCTCGAATCAGGAGGTGAAGAAGCAAGTCTCCCAACCCCAGAAGGGGCTCCAGAGGACGTGCCAGATGGAGGGCAGATAAGCAAAGCCTTTGGGAAACTGTTCAAGATGGTCAAGGACAAGGTGAAAAGCCCCAAAGAACCTGAGCCTCCAGCTGACCTCTACACTAAAGGGCGGTACGTGCTGGTATCTGGGGATGCCAGTTATGTGGACCCTGGGTTCTGTTCCTCCTCCATCCCGGCCAAAGGTGGAGTGGTTATCTCTATTGAAGATGACTCTCTGCATCGCGACAGCCCTGTGGAGCCCTCTCCTGAGCAGCCGGGTCCCCCTCTGGAGAATGGACAGGGCGATCTTCAGGAGAAGGAAGACAGAAAGCCACCCAACCAGCATCCTGCCGACAAGAAGGATGATTTTAGTGCTGAAGAACTGAAAGGACCTGAGGAGAAACCTGATGACCAGAAGGAAGAGGAGGAGGAGAAGGAGGAGGAGGAGTCCAAGAGGCCTTCTCCCGTGATCCCACCTGGTCCAGAGGGACCGTCTACACCCCAGTCTCAAAGGCCCGGGGTCGGTCCGGATGGATCTGGGGGACATGAGGCTAGGAGCAGCGACCCACAGGAGAGAAGTCTGCCCAGGACTTTGGCGTATGAGAAGGTGGAAGTGATGGAATCCATTGAGAAGTTTTCCACAGAGAGCATCCAGACGTATGAAGAAACAGCTGTCATTGTGGAGACCATGATTGGGAAGACAAAGGCAAACAAGAAGAAAGCAGGAGAGAAGAGCTCTTAAAATTCCTGGGCTCAGGGGGAAACAGTGTCTTTGGGGCCACTGTAGGGGAAGTGCCTTGATGTTTTAGAACAGAAGACAAAAGAGTGAAGGTTCCTTGTTTGGATTAGACCATAGTTGGCCCTTCTGACATTGCTAATGAAGCCTTAATTAAAAAGTTTTCTTTGCTTGCACACCCTTTGTCTAATTAACAGGGGCCTCGGGAGTGTAGGCGGGGCAGCCGTGCTCAGGACAGGGCTGCCCTGGTCAGGGGTCATCACACCCTGCTCCTTTAAGGAAAGAGACATGCCTTTCATCATGGGTCACGGAGAGACTCGTTAGAGAGTCGACGAGTGTCTGTACTTCACACAGAAACATGCTAGTTGATCCCTGGGTGCCTTTCTATTGCATTTCAAGTGCAAACACCTGTTCACATGGAGGAGTGTTTTATTAGAGGTACATGATGAAAGGTGTCTATCTTAGTTTGGGTTCGCTGAGAAGCTGATCCTGAAGGAGGGATTTGAATGTAGTGTCTTTGGGGTCTGATCCCAGAAAGCGCCAGAAGGGGTGTGCAAGAGAGAGCCGGGGACAGCAAGGCAGCCAATGAGAAGCATGCTGCCAGATCGGTGAGCACTGTGGGTACTTGGAGCTCAGTCGCCCCAAGGGACTCTGGGGGATGGAGTAGAACACATGCCCTAGAGTTATCCTCCTGCCACCACCACCCCCCCCCCCCGCCCCCCGAGTGAGGAGGGAGCTAGAGTACCCATCCACCAACTCCGGTCCGCCAGTGGGGAGGGCTGCTCCCAGGGCACTAGCTGAAGGGCAGGAAAACCCTCAGGCGCAGAAAAACAGGTGCAGGCGTTTGGACATTGGGTATGGAAATACGTGGGTCAAGAGGATCTAATTGGGGCACCAGTGCCGTCTGCCACAGCGTATGTCCCCAATGTCCTTTTGTCTGGATACTGAAAATGTTCTCACTCAGAAACTGCAATCAGAGGTCAGGTTTCAGAAAGCAAAATCAAATGTCACTGTGTAGTTCCTTGGGTAGGATTTGCCTGTTTGGTCCAACAAGCACTTATGAGCATATACCATGTGCTGGGCTAATAGGGGAGATTTTTCAGGTTCATCAATGATCTCAATTATCATAATATAGTATACCATAATATACATGCGTCTGCATGCCCTCTTGCACACACACACACATGCACATGTGCATATAGATACTTCCTGTGTCACATCCTAGGAAACGAACAAATTACTTCAAACTAGAATCTTTTAAAAATATTTTTTTAATATTTACTTATTTTTGACAGAGAGACAGAGACAGAGACAGAGTATGGTGGGAGGGGGGCAAAGAGAGAGGGAGACACAGAATCCAAAGCAGCTCCAGGCTCTGAGCTGTCAGCACAGAGCCCCATGCAGGGCTCAAACTCATTAACTGCGAGATCATGACCAAAGCTGAAGTTGGATGCTTAACCAACTAAGCCACCCAGGTGCCCCACTTCAAACTAGAGCCTTACAAAAATTCTATGTTGCGTCTAGGCATCTGTTTTTCTACTACGAGTCTAAAATTTTTTTCACTTCTACCAATTGAGAAGCTGCTCCTACCCTATGTAGATGCTCATGTGGGCACTGAGTAAATGTGCTTAAATGGATTATTGCATCTGCCTAAACAAAAGTATCTGGCAACACAGCGACATGTTATTAGACAAAATTGATGGGGTCGTAAATTACATTCTATTATTTCTTTGTTATGAATAATAGAAAGAATACTTAATAGTCACCTTTCTTTCTATTTAGAGCGTTAAAAAAACCTTGTTCTGAATTCATTTGAGGTTTTGACTTCAAGAAAGAAATATGCTTTTGTTGTTCTTTCTAAAAGATGAATGGAAGGGCCCACTCCATTGCACACTTTTGAAATATTTATAATTTAAAAGCTTAAAGGAGAGTGATGGAAACCATTAGCTGGAGCCCAGAATGTACTAGGAATTTGAATCCGTGTGTATATTATATTCAACATCACAGCCACTGAAGACTTTATCTCTTCCCCCATGAAGTCTTTTTACTGTGTGGACTGTAGGTTCAGTTCATATTCTTCTTTTCAAAGGCAGGGGTATCACTTTGGAAAGAAATGTTATTTTTATATTCAGTCTATCATCAAAAATGGATTGAGGGTCTGTTCTGTGCCATGCATGGTTCTGGGCACTGGGAGGCAGCAGAGAAAGACCAGATGTGATTCTGCTCTCACAACCGGACATTTTTGGCAAGGTGGGGGAGGAAGTGCGTAAGCAAGCAGATAACTAAGAGAAAAATTGGTCCAACAATACTAGGAAGGGAACCAACTAAAAGTGACCATGGGTCTACTTTGGATTGGATGGTCAAGCAAAGACCCCATGGACGAGGTGACATGTGATCTGAATGACAAGGTGGGCCAGTCATGTACAGAGCTGAGGGAAGAGGATTCAGCCAGAGGAATTGCAAGTGCAAAGGCCCTGGGGCAGGAACGGACTTAGCCTTTTTAAGGAGGAGAAATAAAGGGGACTATAGAGGGACGCTGAAGGAGATGAAATAAAGGAAGGAGGCAGGAACCAAGAAAACACTATTTCCTGACTGCCTTGCCTTAACCTCAAGCTGGCCTCACCACGTGGAATGTGGGACTGCTCACAACGGACACTTTTGAGGGTGTAGCTGGGCTAGTCCCCAGTCCCGCGGAGCCCCACTTGCTCTTTTCTTGCCTCCTTCTCTCCATTTTTCCTGCTTAGTTCCGTTTTCCCCAAGGAGCTGCAGAATGGGTTCGTTGCATAGCTTTCCCTCTCCCTGAGGTCTCTGAAAACAAGTGCTTTAATTTTATAAAAAGCATTTCTTGTCGGTAAGCATGGGGCTCAGAGCAGGCCTCCTGGTAGCATTGGTGGCAAGAGAGCGCTGGGGCTTTGACAAGGCCCCGGGTACCTGAAGTGCCGGCGGGCAGGTGGCAGCTGCACCAGAGTCCCAGCCTCCTCTTCCCCGACTCCGCCTCAGGTCCAGGACTGAGAGTCTCCTGAAGCTGCCTCGTCCGTAAGGAAGCTGAATCCCAGCTGCTCACCCCTTCCATTTGCCAAGCGTTTGAGTTGGTGACCGGTAACCGCTGTTGTGGGAGCCACTGTGGGTGTTGCCCCCCCCGGATTCTCTGACCCTTGCTGTTCTGGTTCATGCCTGCACCCCTACGCTCCTCATGCCAAGCACATGCAACTCTGCCTCCGGGGCTCCCGTGGCCGTAGGAGTGTGCTCGGTCATCATAGCCGGCAGGTTGGGAGCACTGGGACATTGGTGCTCCCAGGGGCCGCCCTCCATCAGGATGGACAGGATCTCCTGCATAAATACCCCACTCCCACTCCCCTCCATTGGGCTAGCTCTGAGATGTCCCACGCTCTCCCTGGGGGGTCTGATCCCCAGATGACCACAGAGAAACCCATTTACCCATACGCCCTGAATCCGTTTCCTTCTATCCCTGCCTTACTTTCCTGTCCCCTGTATATAGATGCTCCTTTCTAATAAGTGACTTGACCTCAACTCCTTATTTCAGACTCCACTTGTGGGAGGACCCAACCTAAGATGGCTGGTTGGCACATGCCCAGCAACAACCCCCACCCTCAGGTGGCACCCCCAACTTTGTGGGTATTTTTAATGTTCATTTATTTTTGAGGGGGGGAGAGAGAGAGAGAGAGAGAGCGAGAGTGAGCATGACTGGGGGAGGGGCAGAGTGAGAGGGAGACAGAATCCAAAGCAGGTTCCAGGCTCTGTGCTGTTAGCACAGAGGCCGACACGAGGCTTGAACTCATGGACTGAGAGATCATAACCTGAGCTGAAGTTGGACGCCTAAGCGACTGAGCCACCCAGGCACCGCTCAACCCTGCTGCTTTAGCATGAAAGCATGCTAACATACAATATAAAAGTGAACAGGCGTGACTGTTTTCTCTCTCTTTCTTTCTTTTCTTTCTTTCTTTCTTTCTTTCTTTCTTTCTTTCTTTCTTTCTTTCTTTCTTTCTTTCTTTCTTTCTTTTTCTTCCTTCCTTCTTACCTTCCTTCCTTCTTTCCTTCCTTCCTTCCTTCCTTCCTTCCTTCATTCCTTCCTTTTTTAAAAATTCTTTCAGAGCGAGAAAGAGTGTGCAAGCAGGGGAGAAGGGCAGAGGGAGAGAGAAAATCTTAAGCAGAATCCATGTTCAGCTCCCGTGACTGTGAGATCATGACCCGAGTTGAAAGAAATCAAGTCAAATGTTCAACCAGCTGAAACCAACCAGGTGCCCCAGGATTGTCTTCAGTGAAGGCTTACTTATAAAAACAGGCAGAAAGCTGGATTGGGTCCCAGGGTTTGCTGACCCATGATATAGGGCATGCTCCAACAGGGTCTAATACAAAATTAATTTACATATCAGAAGACATTTCTTTTCTTTTTGAGAGAGAGAGCAAGCATGAGTGAGGAAGGGGTAGAGAGAGAGGGAGGGAGAGAGAGAAAATCACGAAGGCTCCACACGGTCAGTGTAGAGCCTGAAGCAGGGCTTGAGCTTTCCTGATGTGGGGCTCGAATTCACGAACTGTGAGATCATGACTTGAGCTGAAGTCAAATGCCTAACCAACTAAGGCACCCAGGTGCCCCAGAAGACATTTCTAACCTGGCGTCTCTACTTGTTTCTTCCTTCTCCTTTCCCATTGGAAAGTTCCATTTAGGTCTTTCCCCTTGACTTAAAGCTTATTTTATAAGAAAAAATCATCAAGCCTCCATTATAATCTAGCTTTCCTACAATTTTTGTATCATAGGTTTGTCGTTGGGATGTTGCTGGTGAACAAAGTCACCTCAAAACTCATATGACATTTGACACATTGATGATAAAGGACACCCTGCAGATATCTTGATAGTAAAAATGCTTGCCTTTGATTTCTCATGCTTGGATAAAAGCAAATAAATGCCACAAAAAAAGCCACAGTGGCTTATGTTTTATTCAAACAAATAGGGTTTTGGAGTTGAGATGTATATTCTATCATGAGATACATCCCTGGTCAATAACTGCTGTGCTGGTACCCTCACTAGTCACACCTGCCCCTTCACCTACATTCTTATATCCTTCCTCAAAACTCATATGACATTTGACACATTGATGATAAAGGACACCCTGCAGATATCTTGATAGTAAAAATGCTTGCCTTTGATTTCTCATGCTTGGATAAAAGCAAATAAATGCCACAAAAAAAGCCACAGTGGCTTATGTTTTATTCAAACAAATAGGGTTTTGGAGTTGAGATGTATATTCTATCATGAGATACATCCCTGGTCAATAACTGCTGTGCTGGTACCCTCACTAGTCACACCTGCCCCTTCACCTACATTCTTATATCCTTCCTATCACGAATTTATTAGTGACTTATCTGTCATCTGTGGTCAGTGGCTCCAGAGAAAAAGACAAGTTGCAGCCTCTGCCTTCTGTCCAGCTTGGAGTAGCCCTATGGGGTGTCCTCTTGGGTGCTGACAGACATCTTTGAAGGCACTGTGAGGTGGGTCACACACACTGGGATGGGGAGGGCAGGTTGGCCTGAAGCCTCCGTGGTGGAAATCAGAGTCCGTTAACATCAAACCAAAGGAATTCTCAGACTCATTTGGCTGTGGTGGCATTTAAAACTCTGTGGGCTGAGATCACCAGTCACCCCCATGCTACCCCAAACTGTGTAGCACCAAACATTAGGAACTTCGCAGTATGAAGTCTTCATCTCTTGGGCCAAGCACATTTCTCACTTGGTTCATTCCATCCCCAGGTTCAAAACAGCAAGACTCTTCTAACAGAAAAATAAAGCTGGTAGGCTGGCTTGGAGAACTTGCCTCAGGTTAAACTTTGATTCCTGGTCCCTTATAAATCCAAAAGCAAATTCAGCTGGCGTGTTTTGAACCCAAGGAAAGGGTCTCTTGGCAACTAAATACCTAAGAGACTAGTGGAAGAATTCAAGAACTACTTGATTAATTTGCAGTGCAAAGAAGTTTCCCTAGAGCTCCAGGTGCTGGTATCCCTTGTACTGGTTACCCCCTCTCCTGGTGTCAGTGTCCTTGGGAAGCCAAATAAGGCTCAGGAGGCTGTGGGTGGGCATGGAGTCTGACCATTGGCAGGTGGATGGTGTTGTCTGGGGATGGCTTTCTGTGCAGTGGGCTCTGTCCTCAACAGACCTGAGCTCTTCAGAGACTAGAATTCTCCTTTATACCAGCCTGAGGGTTTCCTTATGCTTTACACCTCTAGATCCCATCTGCCAACTTTTGTTTTCTTGACTGTCCATTTCCCTAAGCACTCACGTGCTGAGTGCTGGCCCTTCTCCCCACCTTTTGTGTTGAACCCTTCTTTGGAACCACCCAGCTGGCTATAACCAAACCATCGTCCTTGGTGCTGATGTTACTTCGAACCCCCAGAGTTTTTAGAACCCCTTATTGTCTCTTACAAGCATGGTCTTTAATCTTGGCATTTTGATTTTTAGAAATTTTTGTCAAATTAAACTCTTTGCATCCAAGAGCTTACTCTGGCTATGAGAGCACCAGTTCCCCTAATTAAGCACTTCTGTCTCTAAATATAAAATGCTTAGGGGTGCCTGGGTGGTACCGTCAGTTAAGTGTCTAACTTTGGCTCAGGTCATGATCTCACAGTTTGTGGGTTTGAGCCCTGCTTTGGGCTCTGTGTTGACAGAGGGCTCAGAGTCTGAAGCCTGCTTCAGATTCTATGTCTCCCTCTCTCTGGCCCTTCATCATTCATGCTCTGTCTTTCTTTCTCTCTCAAAAATAAACATTAAAAAAATAAAAATAAATGCTTAGCTATGTTTCCCAAAGTTTTATAGTATGTGGTTTTCACTGCAATGAAAGCCATTGATCACCTGAAAACCACTCTTACTAATTTATAAGTGATAATAACAATGACTGTACAGTAATAACACAATAAGAATGATCAGTTTTAACTTAATCTTTTGGAAATCAATTTTTGGACCTAAGTATTGAAAAGCAGTGTTTCAGTTTGTCACAACCTCAGACTTTGGACCTTATGCCTTTCAATGGCTGGTTTTGGTCATAGCCTCTCTTAAGATTTTACTCATTTGGTTTGATACATATTCTATTATAGGAGAAAACTAAACATTGTTTTTACAATGAACCATGATAAATAAAATGCATTAACACTTTATTAATAACTATTAAGATTGCTAGAATAGTGTGTGGTTACATGGGTTACAGCTACTTTGTAATGCTATCCATGAGGAGTGGTTTGCCATGTAAATCAGTACTTAACTATATTTTAAGAGAATGTCAAGCTCTATCTGTGGTAGAGGCTCTGATGCTCACCAAGTATTCCATTAGTTGTCCTACATTTCCCAGTTGCTTTGCATTTAGGTGTGGTCATTTACCAGTACTGACCAATGCATAGCAGTTTAAATGGCATACAGTAAAACCTTGGATTGTGAGTACTTGTTCTACAAGTGTTCTGCAAGACAGGCAAACATTTTTAATAAATTTTAACTTGATACATGAGTGATGTCTTGCAATACAAGTGCTACACGATGCCGAATGTCACATGATCACAACTGAGCCAATGGTTCTTGAAATTTACTTTAATATACAAGTGCTTTGGATTACATGCCTATTTCCAGAACAAATGCTGTTCGCAAACCAAGGTTTTACTGTATATGTATGTCTCCTTCAATCTGAACATAAAGAGTGGATGAGTGTCTTCCATGGGTTCTCTTCCGTGTAGTGATTTAGCAATCTTGTGTTTTGATCACAAACTATAAGACTGAAGATTAAAGCATCCTGAATCCCTCAGTCACTGGCCCTGGGGAGTCACCCGAACCCACCGAAGAATTAGTGTGAACGATATGCCTTTGCTGTGTTAGGCCACTGACATTTTGGGGCTGCTTGTTATTACAGCATAACTCAGTCTAGCTTGATAAATACATTCTAGAATAGTCTTTATAAAAGATTTTTGATCACAAGTCACAATTAGAAATATTTTACCTTGCGATCCAACACACACACACACACACACACACACACACACACATTCCCAAAGCAGACATTTTAAGAAATACTTACTAATATGCATGACCTATTCCATTCTATTCCAGTTTCTCTTCTATTCTATTTTATTCTCTTCCAAAATGTTGCTCTTGACTCTCTAAATTTTTTTACAACCTAATGGGATATAACCTGGGTTTGAAAAATGCTACTGTAGATTGTAATTTGTATATGATTTATCTGCTAATTATGAATCTCTCAGGCAAATTTATGAAAGCAGGCTTTTTAGCTTTCTTTTTGGCAACTTTTTATTATCTGCTCCTAGAACAGATGGAAGTGTTTTTATGTAATATATTTCACATCCCACGTAATTTCTGGAAGGCAATGCTTTATTGTTAAGTCTCCTAATTTACAACATGTCTTTTTAAATTTACTTATAAAATTCTGTCACAGGGAGTAACAATGTTAACTTGATTAATCATTATTCACTTATTTTCATTTTTTAAAATAAATGATTATAAATAATTGTCTCTTGCATTGGGATCAGGGATATCATAAAAACCTCACTAGCTGGACATATTTGTTGTGTTAGTTAATACTGGTGCAAAAAATGAAATAGAGACCAAATATTTGTATATAGCACTATATATATTTTTATATACTGTATACTCATATCAAAACTTGCCATTTCTATTAAGAAGCTGATAAGTTACTCTCTAATTTCATAAATTATACCACAGCTGTGAAAATATGGACAACTATTTTATATTTTTGATGCTATATAAGACATTTAATGTTTATACAGAGAGCTGCAAAAATCACAGAGGTGATGTAATGGGAATCGATGAACATTTTCACCTGAATTTCCACCGGCCTTTTTCTTCAGCCAGAATCATCTTGATAGTCTCTGAATATTCTTTTCGAGATGAATATGGTGTCTGTTTCTTCAATAAATACACATACACACATTTTAGATATATGTGTGTATATACATTTATACAAGTGTATATATATATATATATACACATACATACACACATGTATATAGTCTACATATGTATATATATTTCTGTGTGCACTTATACACCTATGCACACATAATGTCCTTTGGTTTATTTTCAGACTGTTAATATGAAATGGATTTTTGATGGTTTCTATTAATTTTTTTCTTTAAATCTAAACTGGTTTAAAAAGACCTTTGCGACAGGTAATAAATTTCTTTTAAAAATCATAAATAATATCACATTTTAAAGCATCATATAGAGAAGGTCATACGGTGTTAGAGAAGACAGAAATTCATGCCAATATGTGGAGGGGAAAGAAAATGGGTTTTACAGAGTTTTCTCTTAAAGTTGCCACCTTCAGGGAACAGAACCTAGTGCCCTGTGTTGCTGGCTTTAAAGGAAAGGTGCTCCAAGCTTTGCTACGTGCTCCCATGGGAAGGGAGAAGTTCAGCCAGGAGTGGTTGACCTGTTCCTGGGAATCAAATCAAAAAAATAACTCATTTCTTGGGAATGGATGGGCATTGGGATTGCTGATGAGGGGACAATCCTCGGGTAGAAAACCAAAGGGATGACAGGTCAGAAAGCATTTCTATTTGGTAATAAAATGGTGCTGTGTCTTTTGGGGTCAGCAGGGAGAGACGTGTCACCTTTGGGTTGCATGTTGACTACCTTCATGGATTGCTATCAACATGGTGACTGACTGTGTGCTTTCCCTACGGAGGTCTATCTCTTGCTTCCTTCAGGTCTCACGTTGCTGGAGGAAGAGTCAGCATCCCCCCCACCCTCCAGTTTGGCAGAAGAGGCTCCACACAAATGGAGGTCCACATCTTCGAACATGCCCCCTTCACCCTTCACACACCTCTTCTAGAACACAGGCTATTCCCCCAACATATCAAAGAAACCACAACCATATGTTTTGGAAGTCAAAGCCTAAGTATATGTATGCCAAAAATACTCATTTCATGTCTCACTTACATCAGATGAAGAAGCCCCAAAGTGATTTAGGAAAAGGAACGTTCCTGTGTTCTAAGCTACAAAGCTATTCTTTACTTGACATGTGGCCAGACTTCCCTTGTCTTTTTTTTTCTTCTGAATAGCTATGTGAGGGACCCCAGAAAATTGGGGCTAGGATGAATTCTATACAAACTGAGTAATTTGGGTTTCTCTAGCAGATTTTACCATAACTCAGAGCAGCAGCTGGTGAAAAGGACAGCCAAGCTACGTAGGTTTTATATGTATCACGCTGGCTGAGTAGGACAACACCTGTTGGTGTTGGTGGTTAGGATTTCCAATGCTCGTGCATTTTGACTGTTTCTTTCCCCAGCCAGTAATCAGGGCTGTCACGGATGGTGTCTTTCGCATCATAACTACCATCTACGTCACTGAAAAATCTTGCTAAGCTCAAAACATTTTTCCCCAAAGGATCGACGGCATCTGTTGTGCTTTAGAGATTCAGAGCTCACCTTCTGTTATAATCTTTTTCTTTTTATGTAACAGGTTCTCAGTTGAGACCATGAATTAGCATTCTTGGAGTCACTGTGCATGGCTTTTTCAATGCAGTCTCTTCTCAGATATGAAAAAAATGGAGGAGAAAGCTGTCCCAGTTTTGTTTGCTGGCTATCACCTATTTGAATGACACAAACAAAGAGCTTAGAGTCACAAATAGGACATAGGTGTTGATGGGAACACTGTATTTGGGGCAGAGAATGAAAAAGAGTGCTTCCATTGTAAAGAAAAGAATTAGTGACAGTGAGCGAAGCTTCAGGTCAGGGGGTTGGGATCGCTTATGTGAGGGTGACAGTAATTGCTAGGCTCCTGACAGAGTGTGGAACGAGGACAGAGAAGGCAGAGATGGGGGAGGGAGGGAGGCGGTGGAGGCCCGGGTGAGGTGCTAGTTCTCACGCAGGATGCTCTTCAGACTTCTCTCCACGGCTTCATCCAGCTCCTCTTCCAGCTCCTCCTTCTTGGACATGGCCAGCTTGGACTGGTAATCCCTCACAACCTGGTCAATGTAAGGGGCGCTCTGCGTGCCATGCAGCATTAGTGTCCACTCCTTCAGCACCCCCTTCTGGGGTGTGCTCCCAACAAACCCCAGCTCCAGGGTCCAGGTTCCTCGGGCGTCTTCCCCCCATGTGTGGGTGGTCATGAAAGGCCACTTGTCAAAGCCCACCTTGGAGTCATCATCCCTTGGACGTCGGCTCAGCAAAATGGACTTGGTGCCCATTGGGGAAGTCATGTTGATGTTTAGGTCTCCTCTCCTGCTTGCATTGACTGTGATGACAGCTTGGACGTGCTCAAGGTAGCGGACAAAGTTTTCTTTCCCCTCACACGCATCGGTCGTGAGGGTCAGCACCAACTTGCCGGTGGAGGGTATTTTCCTGAGGGCAAAGTGAAGAGATATGGTAAGGGATGGGCACACCACACTTAGGGTTTTAAAGGCAGGTTCAGGTACCAGGAAGTGCAGGGGTTTTGGGGTTAATCAGACAGACCAGCTGTGTGAGCCTGGGCACCTTACCTATGCCTTCTGAACCTTCTATGCAGAAGGGGAATGTAGTGGATGCTGTTCACGCCCTTCTCACTTCTAAGTCACCTCTGCATTCAGCTGTGGCTGAGGCTGTGGCTCCCATGTGACCTGACTGCTTCCCACCTCAGGTGTCAGCATCTCCTGGCTTCTCTCCTGGAGCTTTCCCCCAAACCATTGGAGCTTGCTTAGCCTATGTGCAGGGCAGCCCCAAAGTGTCAGGGACTTAATCCCTCAGGGACAACTCCCTACCAGTGACTGGGATAGAAAGTGATAAACAGACCTTGGTTTCCCTGTTCCTCAGGAGGACAACTCAGTGTCCCCAGTGGGACTGGGCCTGTTGCCCACAGTGACAACTTGCTCATCAATGCACTCCTGACTGGCTCTCAGGACTCCATTCCTCACTTGTGTTTCCTGGGATCATCTCTCAAAAAATTGTCAGCACCCATCTCTCACTTCTGGGTCTACTTTTGGGACAGCCCAAGCTGAGACAGGAGCTCATAATGCCTTTCTTTTAAAGTGCTAAGTATCTTGGGGCGCCTGGGTGGCTTAGTCGGTTAAGCGTCCGACTTTCGCTTAGGTCATGATCTCGCGGTTCGTGGGTTCGAGCCCCGCATCGGGCTCTGTGCTGACTGCCAGCTCAGAGCCTGGAGACTATTTCAGAGTCTGTATCTCCCTCTCTCTCTGACCCTCCCCTGCTCACGCTGTCTCTCTCTCTCCTAGAAATAAATAAAAATATTTTTTTAAAAAGTACTAAGTATCTTGATAAATAGAAATTATTGCGAATATGATTATTACTATCATAGAAAAAGCTGATATGGGGTTAATTAAACCTAGTGAAAGATTCCTCAGTTGACTTCCCACACAACCAATCTACTTCCTGGATATGGCCTCCTTTGAAGGCAAGATGCTCAAAGGTTCTTGCATCAGAAACGTAATAAACTACACTTGAGGACTGCACAGTGTAATGGAAAGACTCCAGACATTAGGAACAACCCTCTCTGTGTTAGAATTCTCTTTGATGCTTACAGGTCAGGAGAGCTTGGGCAAATTATTTAAATACTTTGGAGTCTCACTGTCCTTATAGTTGGGTTTTGTGAGATGAAATCAGACTGTGCATGATAACACAAAGCACAGTGCCTGGATCAAGGTACTAGCTCCCCTTCTCTGGGCTTTTCCCTATGTGAATATCCTCCCTTGACAGGATTTTTGTTTTGGAGCATAAAATGGTGGGTATTTTAGAGCCCATGTCTTGTAGAGCCCATCTACAAAACGATGCTCATACACCCAGCTCAGAGGCAAGTCTTGGTTCTGCATGACCCTTGGGACCAAAGCCACAAACCTGGGAGGTCTTGCTGAACCTTAGCCTGTATCTCAATGATAAAAGGTCAGTACTCTCCTGAGGAGCTTTCAAAATATATGCTTTAATAGTTTCATAAATGCTGCTGTGTGTGCTCTGCATGGATGCTGATGCTGAATGATACATGAAATATCCATTTGCCATGAAGATCTAGTGATGGTGGTGGAAGCAGGGTACAAAGCTCTAGGAAAATCATCCAGTTTAGTGGAGAACAAGCATCAGGTCAGCTTTGGAGGTCAAAGTATGGAAAGCCACTAGCTAGATCTCTTCAAAAAGATGTAATTTAGGGGTGCCTGGGTGGCTTAGTTGGTTGAGCGTCCGACTTTCGCTTAGGTCATGATCTCACAGTTCGTGGGTTC